CTCTCGCTTGGGTTTGGTGGGGGCCTGTCCGAAATTTAGATTTTCCGATGCTGGTGGAAGTGCCAAACGTGCGACCAGCATTGCCAATTTATTCCGGGATAAAACAGGAAGAAACTCAAAGGCTGATAAGGAAGCCGGCATCGAACCGAAAATGTGCCAAGACGCGGTGAAAACGGCAACGATGACTGTGGTGGCGACATCAAGGGGCTAGAGAATGCCATGTTGTTCTTCGACGTTCTAATCGAAGAGCTGGAGTCAGATGATGACGAGATCCTCTTCTTAACGCTGCCAGGCGGCGCTGCGGGCGCGCGTGCCGACGTGTTTGCCGTTGCTCCCACCCTTCTGCTATGGATGGAACAACTGCGTAGATGTGTGGGACCTGTGTTGAGGCACTGGTGGCATATCGCAGGGCGCTCTCAAGAGGGCGCTCGCCTCTGGAGGAAACCTAGGTGCACGTGCCAGTGTTGACCTGTGGAACTCTATATGCACGCGTGCTTTGTCATTATAATGTTTCTAGAACCCAACTGCAGAACCACGGGCTTGACATCGTACTTTAACTCCCAGGTCAACTACGATACTTAGTGCAAGCTCCACAGGGAGGACCTGCCCATCGCCAACTTCTGCGGGGATGTAGCCGTCATGCAAGATGACCTCCAAATCGTGGTCTTGAGGGGGCATGCGGCTGGCACCTGGGTTGATGATATTGTTCCTCGGACCGCGCTAGTTAAACGCAGGGCCACTTGCGCACAGGTGGTAGACCAATGCTCGACAGGGCTGTGGATTTCATATGGCACTCATCAAGAAACTTTTTGATATAATGGCCAATCATCATGCAAGCCCTAAACCGTTTGAAAACAAGAGATCTTCTAGCAATCGTGCACGTGCCCATGCGTGCAACCAAGGACTGGCGCATGCGGCCCAAAGAGCGCCAAATATGCACTCGCTGATCGTAGAAGCAGTCCGGATTTCAAAATCCGTTGATGCAGCAGTATGCAATTTTTCTGCCGACAGGTATTACGCAAACACTTTCGTGGGCAACAGTGCTGGGTTTGATCCCGATGATCTTGCTATGCTACGGGGAGAGAGCGGGTCCATCAAACGACCGCCATCGGGCGGACTTGCTGCCCAGCTTGTATCGACAACGTTCAAATGAACTCACCAAGACAGCCGAAGCCCGCGTCAATGTCGTCGGTGTCGCAAGGATTCCTGTCACTGGGTATGCCAAAATTACAAAAATGACCATGGCAACAAAAAAAAAACAAGCCTGGCCACCTGCTGACGCCGGGCAAGTGTAGGTTTGCCCAACCGTGGCAACTACTTACCCGCGGAAAAGTCCCACCGGCTGCGCCAGCGCCGGTGGAAGTGGCACCTGCGCGTGCTGCTGCTGCGCCAGTGGCGGCACTGGAGGGCCTTCGACGAGGTACCTGCGCCAGCGGAGCTACCGCCAGCCCGACAGAGACCATGGGGAGAAGCACGGCCGCGTGCACGTCCTCCCTCGCGTAGAAATCCACAGGGCCCAAACGGGGGGGTTAGCAGTTAAGACATGACAGGAGGCGCGCACATTGGTTCTGGGGCTGGCAGCTCTCTCACCCCTCCGCGTGTCCCGGGACGTCGTGGGCGAGGGGGGAGTGGCGTGGTGTCGCTTCTTCCTCCGCCTCCAGTGGAAGCGCGGCCGCGTGCGAGATTTGACATCCCGATAAGTCTCCAAACTCTACGGAGGTACGATCCGACCACCGTGCTAACATAATCACAAACAACCCCATTTACGCTGGTATCACGCTTTTGAACCACAGATGCGTGCGATTCTTTCGTGCAGGCATCGGTGTTGCACCACTAACCATGATAAAGGGAGTAGTAGACAGTCGACTCATGTTGTGAGTGCAGAGCCTTGGCGAAACCGGGTCATGTTTCATGCCTTTGATATGTATCCCTGGCAAATTCAACGAAGATGTCGAGATCGATCTGATGTTTCACAGACAATGCTTCGTGTTTCACATGATCGACTGATGTATTCATTGGGTCGCAGACCAAGATATTGCCGACAGGACGATGCATCAACTGACGGATGCAGCGCGGCCCAGCCACGGCGCTGCATTCCGTCGGTGAAGGCGCTCTAAACAATGATGCCGCCAAATCCATCTTGGAGGCTAGAGGCGCAGAGCTTCGCGTCTGTGCCCGAGGCCAGCTCGCCACTACTATCGAAGCGCGCAACGGCGGCCTTACATTTTATGGAAGAAGATTTAGTTCAAGGGCAAAAAGACGCCCCTACCCTGGTTTTCGAGGCGCTGTGCGCTGAAACTCCTGTGGGCTGACAGGGTGTACCCTGCGTGATGTGCCGCGTCCTGGCGGCTCTAGGCTTTGAGGTTCCCAGGGTTTTTACAGACCGCGCGCTTGTAGCCAAGGGCAGGGCCGTTTTTCCATTTGCAATTTTAAACGGCACAACAGTCCATGGGTTTTTACGCGCCTACTGCACGCATTTGTGTGCAGTACAACGGGGTGTCGCCATATCGCGCACTGCATGGTTGACAACCGGCTTGTTTACTGGACCTGTTGGTACTGGACTACCAACAGGGAGCGGAAACGTCTTCTCAGAACCGAGAACAGAGGGTCAGGGAGATAAGCAGTGCAATTGTCGCGCAGGCTACAGCAGTAGCCCAAACCAACAGAGCCCAACGCGCAGAAATGACAGCAGCAGGACATCACAACTATCAGCCAGGAATCTCGTGGACTGCCACTGTCCGACCACTACTGGGGCGACGTTGGTGGATGGAATGGCCCATGCCCCATTGCCCGTAACTGCCCTTACCATGGTCAGACTGCAGTGCATGTTGGCGATCGGGAGGTCTGAGTGCAGAACCCAGACTTACGACGCACATAATTAATTGTAGTATATATGGTCCGCGATATTGGTTTCGATATTTCGGCCGCGCGAACAGTTTTGGCCATCGTCGCGAGCCTGCCCGCGGGGGGACCTGCTATGGTCTTTGGCTGCCTGCCGACCAAGCAAGGAAACTGGCGGATGGCTACGGCGAGTCGCCTCGCGCCTAAGGTACATTTAGCCCTGCAGTTCCTCATCAGAAATTTTGGTAGGATAGAAAATGAAGTGACGGTACGTTTGGCTTAATGCATCCAAAGGTTACAGGCGGCGCCCTATGCTGATAGCTGCGCCCTGGTGTATTATGACAACGACGTCACACCAGGACTTCATCCGAAGGTACCGCTCTCAATATCCATGATGCCGCTGGAACCGCGCGCGAACGTATAACCCAGTACTGGACATCCTCAAAACCTCTAGCGGGCTTTATCGAAGACCTTTCAAAGTTTGATCGGCCACGCCCAGGTGGCGGACGCGCCAGCTTTGGTCGGCCACGCCCAGGAGGAGTAACGGCCTCCAGCGCCGGCCGCATTTGACGGCAGGCTACCGACCATTGCTGAGGAATCAGAAATGGACCTAGAAGCACACATCATGGAAAGGTGGTGTGTCGAGCTCCAAGAGGCAAAGGAACTGCTCGAGACACCCTCATGGGAATCCTTGTGTTTTGTACTTGCCGAGATGGTTGCAGGCAACCCCGTGCTCCCGGCCTTGGCCATGAGAAGCAAAGGCGCGTGCGAGAGATAGGTTATGCTCGGAACTATGACGCCGACGAAACCTTCATGGTATTTTGGACCGCAGAATACGACGAGACCTGCGATCTCGATTCAGATGAACACGGTCAGAGCTATGCTTCGCTACTGACGTGGCTAGAGTTGTTCTGTCAGAGCAACAACGCGAGTCACTTCGCAACGATCAAGTAAACTGAAGGCGTCTGTATGTTCCAGCCGCAACTAAAATAACTGAGGTTGTCAGGGAAGACGACCTCCTGACGAAGGCAGGAATTCAAGCCAACTCGACAAAACTATCTCAGGCCTTCTGCACGGAACGCAAGATATGGTATGCTAACGAATGCTTTAGGATGCAGGACATCACAAATGCTACCAACATCAAGACATCTAGATACGTGTACAAGTGGAAGTACGGCGAGTGCCAGGCAGGTGCGGAAAGAGCGAGGTACGAGTGATGACGTTGACTTGGGGCGAAAACTTCCAGGGAGTGGTTCAGGGGACGGGGGAGAATCGTGGAGATAGGTCGAAAGGTCTCCCCCCCTCCCCCAATATGCCCCCAAGACGGCACAAGAGGCGTCCAGGACAGCCCAAGATACCCCCAAGACGGCCCAGGAGAGGTCCAAAACGGCCCCAAGACGGCCAAGAGCGCTTCAAGAGCATGCCTCCCCCCCGCCTGTGTGGCACACCCCATACGCCGATCGTGGCTTCAGAAGCGGGCTCCACTTGCGGCGCCAGTTCGACACTCCGCGTGCACCCTCCCGCTCAGTTGGCCCCGACAAGGGCACCACCGATGGCGTCCACATGCGTCCCCCCGCCTATGGTGGCACCCCATCATACGGATTTTGGCCCCAGTGGGAATTCCACGCACGTCTCCAGTGATGGCGTTCACATGCCGTCCCCCGCCAATGCCGGTACACCCCTCACGCGGATCGTGGCCCCGTATGGAGCTCACCCAGTGCACCATCGATGGCGTGCACATCTGCCCCACTCCCGCCCATGTCGGCACACCCCTTGTGCGAATCGAGCCCCCATCGAGAACCCTTCCTTCGGCCCCACGGTTTCATTCGGATCGTGCCGTTGACGAACAGCCCTCACGTTAGGCGAACACGAGGGAGGAGAAGGAGGAGGAGGAGGAGGAGGGAGGAGGAGGGAGGAGGAGGAGGAGGAGGGGGAGGTAGGAGGAGGAGGAGGAGTAGGAGGCAGGAGGAGGAGGAGGCGGAGTGAGGGAGGAGGAGGAGGAGGAGGAGGATCATCAGAAGGTGAGGACGACCAGCAAAATGATAACTAGGAGGTGGGGCCCCTATCTGGCGCTACACGCAGCAACATTCGGCAGGGTCCTTCGCCAGGCTTTTCAATTGTATTTTGGAAAACCGATGCCTTAAACCGCCTATGCTCAGAGGGTTGGTTGGCTTCGTTGCATCGTAGATCGCACGGCTGCAGTTCCACGGTCCACACGCCGCCTTCGACCGCCTTCGCGACATGGGAAACCGCTAGACTGCTACTCCCTGGACCGTGAGATCGGCGACAGCAAGCCACGACAGCTCCGTCAGCTGTGGTTTTGGGCGCCCAAGCTGATGACAGATCAAGGGCCGAACAGCGGCAGCAGTTCCACGGAGTGTGCCGCCGGCCGCCCGAGCGGAGGCATGCCGCACCACGGGTCACCAGGCTGGCCGGTGAAGTCCATGGCTGCGTCGGCGTCGCTGCTTTCGTCGTCGCAGCCACCGCCCGTGCCGATGCCGACGCTTCCCCTCTCTGGCTCAGCGCGCCGGCCCGGCCTCGCCCCCCGGCTGCGTTCGGGGGGGGGGAGGGGCGCGGGCCCGAGCTTCTCTGGCATGCGCCGCCCGGCGCTGTGGCCCTCGGGGGCGAAGGGTTCCGAGGGTGGCTCGCAGCCGCACTCGCAGGGCGCAGGCGGCGATGGCACCCTGGCGGACGACGAGGCCTTCGCCGCGGACTTCCAGGGCAGGACCGGCATGAGCCAGTCGGCCTGCTACCTCGTGGTGCTGCTCGCCATGGCGTGCCGCGTGCTGGGCGGCGCGTGGCAGGCTATGGTCATCTTGGAGTACATGCGCTACTACCTGATCAACGACATCAGCGCCCTGGCGACCATGAACGCTGCCGCGGAGTGCCCCCAGTGCCTGCTGAAGGCGTTCCTGTTTCCGTGCTGGGGCGTCGTCGCCGACCGCGTCTCCCGCAAGCGCATGCTGCTGGTGGCTTCCAGCGCCTCCTGCATCAGCACGTGGCTCCTCGCAGTGGTGCCGTCCATTCCTGTCTTCGCGCTGACGCGGGTGCTAACTCTGGTAGGCGACGTAGGCGGTTCCCTCCGGAACGCGATGCTCAGAGATCTGTTCAGCCCAAACCAGTGGGACGTCTCAAAGGGCGGCGTCACTGGCATCCAAGCCCGCTTGCGCATCTTCGGGGTGATAGTCTCGGGCTTCGCGGTGGCAGTTGGCATGTCGATCTTGAAGTGGGGTCCGAGTAACGAGTTCACGCTCAGGAAAGAGGAGTGCGCGGGCCAACTGTATTGCACGCAACCAGAACATTTCAGCTGGGAGGGTGGTTGGAGAGTAGATGGGTCGCTTCGACTTGTTATGCTCATGGCTGCCTGTGCGTACACCCTTGAGCTATTAGTCATTGTCTTCCTTTTGCCAGAGACCCTGAAGCCGGATTACATCACAGCCAGCAGCATCTGGGGCTACGTGTGGTGCAACAGGCACGAGCTGCTGAAGCCCTGGAGGAGCCTCCGCGTGTTTGCAACGCCTATGCTGAGGAGTCTGCTGGGAATCCGAATGATTCACTACGTGATCGGCAGTGCTGGTTCTGCGGTTTTTACCACGTGGTACCGCCGAACAGAGCTGGACACGCTCACAATGTACACCCTCGGCGTGCCAACAGGTATCGTGGGCTTCTTCTGCCTCTGTATGATCCCTCGCTTGGCCGAGCGGTTTGGAGACTTCAGGGGAATTTGGATTCCTTCGAACATCGTCACCATTTTGTACGGCGTGGGCGTCGCCCTCATCCCAGGAGAGTACTGGCAGGTGTGCTATGTTTTTTTCCCGCTCGTCGGGGGCCCGAGCGCGGCATTGGCAGGCTCCACGCCCGAGCTGCTCGCCAAGCTGGTCCCTCCGGACCTCCACGGCACGTTCCATACCGCGAAGTCGTTTGTTTGGAACGTCCAGAGGGCGGTATTTATCTGGCCATGGCTGGGCGCCCTGGTGGTCTCGGAGAACTACCCGTACCCGCTCGATGCGCTCGCGATCTGGATCGCGCTCGTGCTGGGGCTGCTGGCCCTCTGGGCGAAGGCCCGCATGCTGCCCCGCGACCCCCGGGGCGAGATCTGGGCGGGCAGGGCGCTGGAGGACTTCTACCGCACGCCGTACGCCCGCGAGAAGTGCCGCTCCGCGCCAGGCTACGACGCAGGCGATGGCGAGGCGAAGGTTCTGGGCCTCCCAGATGGTAGGGGAACGAAGAATGACATAAACATAAAAACTCTGAGGTCCGCGCGGATTCCTCGGATCGACGCTGGGACCCCCTGGCGGCGCCTCCGGCGCCGCCCCTTGCGCGCTCCGCGCGCCAGGGAGAGGGGTCCAGCGCCTATCCGAGAAATCCGCGCGGACCTCAGAGTCTTTATGTTTATGTCACTTTTCGTTCCCCTAGATGGGGTCTGAAAAGACGGGGTGGGTGGATCGCGCCGCATCGCCGATGCATCGCTGGTACGGCTCGATGCGGAGGCCGATTTTCTCCATGCCGACGTCGCCGATGCATCGTCAGCGTCGCCGTCGCACTGTCGATGCACCGACGATGCGGCGCGATCTTACGACTCCAGCTGCTTGGACCCGATTTGGGAGGCCTCTAAAGGTGCGAGTCGGAGAGGGGGAGTCGAAGGCGGGCCTGTTCCTCCACGGGGAGGAGGACGCCAGTGCTTAGAACAGTTCTGCCATATTCGAAGAGCAGCAGAGTGCATACACACACACACACTTTCGGAGGCCCGCGCCAGACCCTTCGTCGGCGCTGGACACACCTGGCGGCGCCCCTTCCACGCGGAGCGCCGCTACAATCAAGTTCGCGCGGACTTTCGAAAGTTGAGTGTTTATGGCCTTCCGTGAGTGCGGCTTCCCCCCCTTGTCGCTCCTCCTCCGCGGTCGGCCCTCTTCTCTTCTATTCCCTGTGCACGCGGGACAGTTCGCAATACCGTAGCCCGGGCTGCCTGGATTCGCGTGCGGACCGCCTCTGCCGCGCTTCGACGCGAGAAGTTTATGGCCGCCGTCCCATCCCGCCACCGTGGCTGGGTTGTGGGTCATAGGCCTCCATCTGCCTCATTTTGGTTGTTGGTTTTGAGCCCCGAGTCAGGGTAAGACCGTTTTGCTGCCTATGTCTGGTCATCATTTGGCAAACGCCCATCTCAGTCCTCCCCCAGACAAGCACAGTGTTAACCACCAGCCAGGGTGTTGGGCAGGCACATACGCAGATTCAGATGACGTGGACACGCAATCGCAGCAAGGCAGCCGCCACTGGCATTGCTCACATCGTTGTGGCCCATGCTGATACCAGTGCCAGCGTGCCAGCGCAACTTTCCATTGGAATGAGGATGAGAACTGTCTCGGTCCGCGTAGGATTGTACACACGCTCAAGTGTACATACGATCATGATGCCGCTAGCGATTCGATTAACATTCGTGGTGTACACGCTCCACGCAATCACCGCAGTACAGCTCGACGTGATGCTGCTCAAAGTACGGCGGGGCTCTGGTGCGCAGTAAGGCCTGGTTGTGGGTGGTGGTGGCGACTGTCGTCAGCGGTAGTCATAGTTTCGGGTCCCGACAACGTTCCGTAGAAGTTAGTCATAACAAACAGCGGTCGTGGCAACCACGACTGGTGGCACTGGACACTAGCTAGCAGGGCCCGATGGGGACATTGAGTGTTGGCTGCAACCATGGCTAGTGGGGCTAAGCATAACATTTGAACTAGGGGATAGCAATCGACGTTGGCAATATTGTTTTGCGTATCGGTACAATCATTAGGTGAAGAGCACCCAAACACAAGTATACTTACTAGTGGTCTTCGGCCCATCCCGCCACCTTTCCCATATTGTAGGCAGAGGTCTCTTGGATGTCTGTGAGGATCTCGTGGGAAGCCTCTCAGAAGCCGCTGGCTGTTGGTTTTGAGCTGCTTTTTGCTGGCTTCTCGGGGGCCTGTTTTGTGCCCTCTTGGGGGCCTCCTTGAGCTTCTGGGAGGCTTGTGGGCTTACTGGCGGTCTCGAGGTCATCTTGGGGCGGAGCTTGGGCCACTTGGGCCGCGTTGGGATCCTCTTGGACCGTCTGGGGGCCCTCTTGGGGGATCTTTTGAGCCGTCTTCGGGCGATTTTTGGAGCCTCGTGGACCGTCTTGGAGCGGAAGTCCGAAAAGGCGAGAGAGCTGTAGTTCGAAAGCCAATGGAACAGCAATTCTTTTTGTTTTTTGGAAGTGCTCTTGGGGTTCTCTTGGGGCAACTAAGAGGCCTCTTGGGCGTCTTTGGGCCATCTGGTCCGAGGCCCTCTTGGCCCATCCTGGGGGCCTCTTGGCCCGTTTTGGGGCCTTCTGGCCGCCAAAGAAGTCATGCGAGAACACGCAGCAGCACACGATAACAAGTGCCACGCCCCAGGAAATCTGAGAATGTGGGGCCGGGGCCCCTGAAAGTTAACCCTTCGGACTGAGGGAGGAGGGCTCAAGGCACCTGAGGACACTCCCGCTCGCGCCTTGCGGCACATTGCAGCATACAGTACTCGGAGAGAACTCGCCAAGAACAAGTATATATGGTGCTGCGGCAATCCACACTCGCAGCAACCACTATCCTCGGCACCGCGGGTAGGAGCTAGGTGGGACTAGGCTGTGGCTGAGAAACCGCTAGCGGGGGTAGCGGCAACCGCTGTCCAGGACAACCAGAATCGGCGTCACCAGGGCAGGGGCGAGGAGGGCTAGCCGAAGGTGGAGGTGGCAACCACAAAGGGCAGCACAGGGGGTAGGAGCTAGAGGCGCCAGCCGCCGTTCACATCGGAGCTCTTCAGGGTAAGTACCGCTTGGGGTAGATGCACACGCGCTTCCTGGCATACATTACGTGTAGAGGTAAGTCTACAGGGCAGCGCAAAAGCGCCATAATCATGTATGCCAACATCTTTACCACCCAAGTGTCGTGTTGAGCAAAAGGTGATACGAACCGACCGCATCGCTGTATCGTGACGCTTATAATTCGCGACTGCGACAACATGTGCAGACCATACCTATACGTACCTGTTCAATACGATCTTACTGGGTGTTCACCGAAGAGGGCTGACATCCTCGCCAATTGTTTGCCGTGATCACGGTGCCTTGGTTTTGCTCGCCGTAGCACTGCTAGCGTCATGGCTCATGGCCAGGCAGCTGACACAAGTATGGGCCGCAGTGTTCTTTGCTACTCTGAAGCATCGCCGCTCTGAAGCACTGCCGCTCGTGCTTCTCACGCCACTATCGCTTATTGGGTTGGTGTAGGGCACGGTCGCATCGCCAACCCCCTCAGCACCCATGGTTAACGTTGCCCTGCCACCCGCCCCGCGTGTTGCTCATTCCTCTGGCAGCTTTTGATCGTGACAGGAAGCACCAGCACTCGACTTTCGGCTGGGGTTGGCCCTCGCCCAGGGCCACTGGAAGGCTCGTGCGGCATGCCTCTGGCAGCCGACGAGCCCTCTGGCGGCCCGCAGCTCAAGCCCACCCTCGCTGGACGCTTCCGCTTCACGCTGTCCTCTGCGCACCCGCCAAGGCCAGCTTCACCGATCCATCCCCGCCGGGCCATGGCGTCTCAGCCCCAGCAGGTCAACCGCCCAGGTGGGGATGGGCCCCGCGAAGCCTGAAGGGAGCAGGCATCTGCCCTTATATCCAAGGGGGGGGGGTAAGTCGGCCAGTGGAGCCAAGGCCATGCCATTGGGGATGGGGATCGCTCAAAGCGATGCCCACCAGGACATGGGCGATGGGCTGGAGCAGTACCTGAAGTTCCTGACCGGCACCCTCCCTCGCAAGCCAAGCCTCTCCGTCGTCATCAGCACGCTGAAGTGCGCGGACCTCTTCGGCGACGGCACCCCTCGGCAGCCTCTGACCCCCAGCAGCTCGGGCACCGCGGCGGCGCCCCGCGCCGCCGCGCCGCAGGGCCGGCCCGAAGGCCTCGACGCGACCGTCCTGGGCGCACCCGTGGACCCCACGACGGCGGGGGCCACTGCGCGGGTGGCCCCGGCCTGGCCGCCCAGGGCCGCCAGCGGCGGCGGCAGCTGAGAGAGGCCACCGGTGCGGGCGCGCCTCCGCGGAGCGGAGGCTGCCCGCCAGGGCCTGCCGGCGCGCCCGGCGCCCCCGGGCTCTGCGGCGCGCGGCGGTGCCCGTGCTGCCACACGCGGAGCCTGCCCGGGGCGCGCCTCGCGGGCGGGACGAAAGGGGTGGGGTGGGAAAGGGGGGGTTACTCCAGATTTCGTAATAAAGGGAGGGTTACTCCAGATTTCGTAATAAAGGGAGGGGGGTCTCGTTTCGGGGGGGGTCTCTCCCAGGCTATCTTGGAGGGCCTGGGGGGGTCTGGGGACGATGTTTTGGAGGGTTCTCCCACGGGGGGGGGGTCTGAAATGGCTCGTCTTGGAGGGTCCAGACCCCCTCCCTTTTATTACGAAATCTGGAGTACTCGGAGGTGGACAGACCTCGTATACCCTGACACGTCGATTAGTGAATTGTCCGTTTTCGGTTCTCGAGAGGGCGCCGCGGCCGTCCTTTTCCAGGCTTGCGCCCGCCAGGTTTGGGCCCGAGGTCGTTTTCACTACACCACGTTTTACTAAAAGGAGATCTGTCCATTCCCGAGTTACGAAATCTGCTGCATGCGGCTGGTTTCGGCCCCACCGAGGGGCCCATTCTTCGACACATGGCCGTCTCCGGCGCCGGGAGGCGCCGGGGAAATCGGCTGCGTGAGCTGATCTCAAGCCCCCCTTTGCTATCCCCCCTCTCGCCCGGCCTGGACCTCCATCGCGCCGCCTGTGCCGCTAGAAGCGCGACGCGGTGCACCGTGCGGAATCGGCTTGCCCCCCAGCCCTCCGAGGCTGGAGCTTGTATTAGGGGAGCAAAAAAAGCTCGGAGGTCCGCGCGGACTTCTCGGATCGGCGCCGGACCCCCCTCCCTGGCGCGCGGAGCGCGCCAGGGAGGGCGCCGGAGGCGCCCCCGGAGGGCCCCAGCGCCGATCCGAGAAATCCGCGCGGACCTCAGAGCTTTTATGTTTATGCCACTCTTTGTTCCCCCTTCCCTCTTCTCCTCCCCCATCTCTGGTTTATTCAAGCTCCGCGCGGCCCGCTTAGCATCGACCGGAAGAGGTGCGCTCTCGACCCGCGAGTCAAAAAACTTGTATGCGTTCTCCGCTCGGGGGGCGGCGCCTGTCCACGTCGCCGATCCTTGCGCCAGGCCCAGCCACGGGGCCCAGGACGGGCTCGGCCAGGGTGGGCGAGCTGGCGCCCCCCTCGCCCACCGCCTGGGGGGGGCCAAGGTTCCAGGACCTTGATCAAGGGGCCCAAGGGCACACAAATAAACACACACAAATAAGAATGTTCCCCATATTTTCCCATGTTTTCCGCGTTTTTGTCTTCCCGCCCAGTTCCCTAATTTTCCAATATTTCCCAACCATCCTGTGGTGTTGGGTCCTCGTTTTGAAGAGACAGCGCCCCGCGTTCACTCCTCCTCCCGCTGCCCCCTCCCTCCTGCCATCATCATCATGACCATCATGACGATCATAGGGAGCTCCAGCGAAGGCCCCAGTGGCTGCGCTCCCATGCGCCCTCCGCACCCATTTCGGCACACCCCTCACACGCTTCGTGGCCCCATAGGGAGCTCCACCGAAGGCCCCAGTGGCTGCGCTCCCATGCGCCCGCCGCACCCATTTCGGCACACCCCTCACACGCTTCGTGGCCCCATAGGGAGCTCCAGCGAAGGCCCCGGTGGCTGCGCTCCCATGCGCCCACCGCACACATTTCGGCACACCCCTCATACGTTTCGTGGCCCCATAGGGAGCTCCACCGAAGGCCCCAGTGGCTGCGCCCGCATGCGGTTCCACCCCCCATTCGGGCACACCCCTCACACGTTTCGTGGCCCCATAGGGAGCTCCACCGAAGGCCCCAGTGGCTGCGCCCGCATGCGGTTCCACCCCCCATTCTGGCACACCCCCCACACGTTTCGTGGCCCCATAGGGAGCTCCACCGAAGGCCCCAGTGGCTGCGCCCGCATGCGGTTCCACCCCCCATTCTGGCACACCCCTCACACGTTTCGTGGCCCCATAGGGAGCTCCACCGAAGGCCCCAGTGGCTGCGCCCGCATGCGGTTCCACCCCCCATTCTGGCACACCCCTCACACGTTTCGTGGCCCCATAGGGCGCTCCACCGAAGGCCCCAGTGGCAGGGTCCGCATGCCTCCCCACCACCCATTTCGGCACACCCTTCACACGTTTCGTGGCCCCATAGGGAGCTCCACCGAAGGCCCCAGTGGGCTCAGTGGCTGCGCTCCCATGCGCCCGCCGCACAAAATTACCCCTCACACGTTTCGGGCCCATATAGGGGCGCTTCAGCGAAGGCCCCATTGGCTGCGCTCCCATTCGCCGGCGCACCCTTTCGGCACCCCCTCACACCTTCGTGGCCCCATATGAGCTCCCGCGAAGGCCCCAGGCCTTGCGCTCCCATGCGCCCACCGCACCCATTTCGGCACACCCCTCATACGTTTCGTGGCCCCATAGGGAGCTCCAGCGAAGGCCCCAGTGGCTGCGCTTCCATGCGCCCACCGCACAGATTTCGGCACACCCCTCACACGCTTCGTGGCCCCATAGGGAGCTCCAGCGGAGGCCCCAGTGGCTGCGCTCCCATGCGCCCACCGCACACATTTCGGCACACCCCTCACACGTTTCGTGGCCCCATCAGCGAAGGCCCCAGTGGCTGCGCTCCCATGCGCCCGCCGCACCCATTTCGGCACACCCATCACACGTTTCGTGGTCCCATGGGGAGCTCCAGCGAAGGCCCCAGTGGCTGCGCTCCATGCGCCCACCGCAACTCCATTTCGGCACAAACCCCTCACACTTTCTGGGCGCCATAGGAGCTCAGCGAAGGCCGCAGTTTGCTGCGCTCCCAATTGCCACCGCCGCACAGATTTTCGGCACACCCTCAACCGTTTCGTGGCCCCATAGGGAGCTCCAGCGAAGGCCACCCGTGGCTGCGCTCCCATGCGCCCACCGCACCCATTTCGGCACACCCCTCATACGTTTCGTGGCCCCATAGGGAGCTCCAGCGAATGCCCCAGTGGCTGCGCTCCCATGCGCCCACCGCACCCATTTCGGCACACCCCTCACACGTTTCGTGGCCCCATAGGGAGCTCCACCGAAGGCCCCAGTGGCTGCGTCCCCATGGCGGCGCCGCACCCATTTCGGCACACCCCTCACACGTTTCGTGGCCCCATAGGGAGCTCCACCGAAGGCCCCAGTGGCTGCGCTCCTTCCGCTCCCATGCGCCCACCGCACAGATTTCGGCACACCCCTCATACGGTTCGTGGCCCCATAGGGAGCGCCATCGAAGAAGATACTCACAATTGCGGTACTCGCAGCTGCATCTGGTTGGGTCCTTCGCCAGGATAATTTCTTGGGGATCGACGATTAATTGTGTTTGTGTTTTTTTTTTCTTCCTGACTTGAGGAGGTGGTGGGTATGGACAACCACTGCTAGGTCGGGCCTGTCCGCCTGCAGGGGGATTTTGGACGAAAAGTAAGAGTACCCCAGGAATACCCAAATTTTCAAACATGGTCCAAAAGTCGTTCCCATACTATTCTTTGTCTGTTCTTGAATTTTCCTCCTGTAGAGGGACAGGCCCGACTTAAATCCACTGCCCCCTGGCGTCCTGGGACTGGGGCCCTCCAGGCGGTGGATGTGTATGAGCACAGGCCTCGGATCCACTGCCCCTGGGAGTCCCTCGCTGCGACCGCCTGCATGATCCTCCCCGCCTCACTCATCTTCGTCCTCGTGGCTTCATCTTCCTCCTCCGCCTCCTCCTCGCCCCGCCTTCTCTCGCTTTCCCTTGAGGACGCGGGGTGGGGAGGGGGGGGGAATTTTGGGAATGGAGAGGATGACGAGGAGCAACAATCCCAAAATACCTTGGAGGCTCTAGGACGTTTTAGAAAGCCATCATGGGGTCCAATGGGATGTATGGGGTCTGGTTCGGGGCGTGAGGAGCATGAAGAGGATTCTGATGATGATGCTGATGATGATGAGGAGGAGTAGGAGGAGAAGGAGGAGGAGGACGAGGAAGAAGAGGGGGAGTAGGTAGAGGAGGAGGAGGAGGAGGAGGAGGAGGAGGAGGAGCAGGATAACGACGACGACGGCGATGATGCTCCTGATGATGCTGCTGATGACGATGCTGAGGCTGCTGCTGATGATGCTGATGCTAGTGGTGGTGATGATGACAATGAGGATGATGATGATGTTGATGATGATGTTGATGATGATGATGACGACGATGACGATGGTTGTCATGGTCATGGTGATGGTGATGATGATGATGATGATGCTGATGCTGATGATGGAGATGCTGCTTATGAAGATGATGATGGTTGTGGTGGTGTTGATGCTGCTGCTGATGAGGATTATGCTGCTGATGATGTTGATGATGCTGCTGCTGATGCTGCTGCTGATCATGATGATGATGTTGATGGTGGTGGTGGTGCTGCTGCTGATGCTGCTGCTGATGGTGATGCGGCTGTTGCTGCTGCTGCTGCTGATGATGATGATGTGCTGGTGGTAAGATGATGATGATGATGCTGATTATGCTGTTGTTGTTGGTGATGATGATACTGCTATTAGTAGTGATAGCGACGATGCTGCTGCTGCTGATGATTTTGATGATTATGATGCTCATGCTGATGGTAATGATACTGATGATGATGATGATGATGATGATGATGATGATGATGATGATGATGATGATGATGACGATGTTTGTGATTCTGAAGACGATGCTGATGACGATGCTGCTGCTGATGATGATGGTGATGGTGATGATGCTCCTGATGCTGCTGCTGGTGATAATGGTGATATGGATACTGATGATGCCGATGACGATGACGATGACGTAGCCTTCCGCCCCGAGACGCTCCCAGGAGGCTCCCACAGACCCCCAAGAAGCCCCAAGAGGCGCCCAGGAGGCCCACAAGAGGCCCCCAGGAGGGCCCGAAAAGGGCCACAATAGGACCCCCACGAAGGCCCAGAGACGCCAAGAGCCATCGGTAACGC